ATTTTACTCAGTTGTTTAACCTTGTTTGAGGCTTCTGTGTTGACATGGCACCCTGCTGGACTGGTCCATGCCACGAGCATGTGTGAGGGGCCAATCTCCTAGCCAGGGGTGGTGAGGGGGTCGGACTGTCTTTGACTCAATGCGGGTATGTTTTTTGCGAATTCGGTCAGATATATACTTGATACTATAATGTTCTAAATAAAAAAAACTAAGTTTTACTAAATTAAAGAATCCAGAGCGATTGCTATGACCTGTTTAGACATTTAAGTACTTTGTAAGTTTTTAAAGAGCCAACCACCAATGGAACATTTAATAAAAAAAATTTATTGTTTTTTTACTGAAATAATCGAGAACAAAAATTAGTTAATAAAAACTACTTATAAAAATTAGCTTAAAGGAGAAAATATAGCTTTCACAGCATATTTTCACAGCTAAAACCCTTTACGCAATATTTTGCAGACGATTAATTGAAAAGAGTCTGCATTCGTATGATATTGTTTTTACCACACTCATCACTGTGGCACGTGAATATCTGTTTTCGAATTAAGACGTTGAATTCTGCTGTTGGAGACAACAGCTACATAAAACAAAGCAAATCCGATACGAATTTAGTTCACAGATGCCAAGCTAACCGTATAGAGGGTTTATTAAGAGGTGTTTGGTTTGTCCATACGGTGGTATTCAACGAAGAATTGAAAGAAAACCACGTCCTTTATTAATGACATTGCGGATAATAGTGCATTCGTAATATTCCGAATCTAATTCGAAGTCTACCAGTTCCTGTTTATGGATATCTTCGATACTTTCAGATATCTCAATAAGGTAAGGATAAACACTAGCAGAAATGCGTAGTAGAAAACGTTTTTATTTTCCTTCTTGTAAAACAGAATCAGCAGTAATGTTACCTGAATTCGTTATAATATTAGCTGGCCAAATATGACATTTCACTACTTAAGTCTTCAATTCCGGCATTTTACTTACCTTGCATTTGAAATGAATTCAAGTTTTTTTGTTCTGCTTTTTTTCTGAAGAAGAAAGTATAATGTTTGCAATCGCGGAAGTAAGCGACAGAATAGTATAATTTACGAGATATTTTCAAAAGTTGCGTGTATGGTCGTACAAAAGACGAAAATATGGCAACCAACGCATTTAGCAATAGACTCGTTACGGTGAAAATTACCAACCTATGGGGACGTTTATGTCAATAATTGGTCTACCTGATACAGTACTGAAGATGAGACATAAGGATCTTTAGCAAACACAAGAAAGCCGATAAGTTAAATCGTTCTTAAAACCATCATTTGGATCGTTAATGATAGAAAATGAATGCTGCTATTAGTCTTTGCTAAAGTGTTGTACTTTGTTGAGGGATAGTTGCAATATCAACAATTTGCTTCGTTTCCTGTTGTTTCCCGAAATTCTAACTAGCGGTTCTTTAGAGATTGGCTAATTACTACCGAGATGCATTTAGTTGGATTCTGGCGGAAATGTAAAAAAAAANCCAAATATGACATTTCACTACTTAAGTCTTCAATTCCGGCATTTTACTTACCTTGCATTTGAAATGAATTCAAGTTTTTTTGTTCTGCTTTTTTTCTGAAGAAGAAAGTATAATGTTTGCGATCGCGGAAGTAAGAGACAGAATAATATAGTTTAAGAGATATTTTCAAAAGTTGCGTGTATGGTCGTACAAAAGACAAAAATATGGCAACCAACGCATTTAGCAATAGACTCGTTACGGTGAAAATTACCAACCTATTTGGACGTTTATGTCAATAATTGGTCTACCTGATACAGTACTGAAGATGAGATATAAGGATCTTTAGCAAACACAAGAAAGCCGATAAGTTAAATCGTTCTTAAAACCATTATTTGGATCGTTAATGATAGAAAATGAATGCTGCTATTAGTCTTTGCTAAAGTGTTATACTTTGTTGAGAGATTTTTCGAAATTCTAACTAGCGGTTCTTTAGAGATTGGCTAATTACTACCGAGGTGCATTTAGTTGGATTCTGGCGGAAATGTAAAAAAAAAACCTTTAAAACGACTTCGTTCTTTGTATTCTGACGTTTTTAAGTTTCTAACAAAAGACTGTAGCCTACACAACACAATGTGGAATCTTGGGAAGGAAAACAGCGAAAACAAGAACTGGCATAGGACAAACGAAATAATGGCTCTTTTGCCGCCAAGTTTACGAGTTTCGAAATCCTTGAGAATGCGCTGCTTCGAATCAGCAGTGGGGAGCTTAAAAATATCACGACGGCAATGGCAACGATCGTCACTAAATAAAAGGTTTAATGAGCAGAACAATGGCTGTAAGTAAAAAAGTGAAGCCTTGGAACCGACTGGCTCATACATGTAGCTGCCGGAGCTTATCACGGTTTCTGTAGCATGAAGCGGCTAGTAGTATTTCTACTCCCCCAGGACGGGACGCTAGTCCATCGCAGGTNCTTGGAACCGACTGGCTCATACATGTAGCTGCCGGAGCTTATCACGGTTTCTGTAGCATGAAGCGGCTAGTAGTATTTCTACTCCCCCAGGACGGGACGCTAGTCCATCGCAGGTCACTTCCCCGCAATCCGTTAGGTTTCCCAACAATTCGCCGGTACCCATTTATACTCCTGGATGGAGAGAGAGGCACTGTGAGAGTTTAAGTGTCTTGCCCAAGAACACAAGACAGTGTCCCTGGCCAGGGCTCGAACCCGAACACTAACCATGAGGCCACCGCGCCTCCCTCAGTACAATGACTGTGTACATTTCTTTGCAGTCCTTCGCAAAACAACAACGCGAAATCACCAGGTTCTGCGTTGCCCCAAGAACGTGAACCATGAAGTGTAATTTTTTAAAATTTTATCAGTTCAAATTCATCTCTGGGTCCAAGATTCAGTTTCGTAATAGTTTTGACAGTGATAAACAAATTAAAGGACTTCAGAGTATCGCGACATTCGTAGGTAAAATATAAAATCATTTTTTAATCGACGATGTCCTCGGCGTCACCGTCGTGGTTACTTAAAGTAAAAAGTCCAGAGCGCGCCCTGACCTTGTGTTCGACCAAATGAGTCGTAAGCGAAAGAAGGTTTTTACATGCCACCTGTAATAAATTGAAACGCATTTAAACAATATCTTACCTTTAATGCTGGGT